ATAATAATAATAATCATTAATAGTTAAAAGTGAGATTTAAGATTACAATAACATATGGAGGATTCCCTTCAAGTCGATACCAAATATTTTTATTTTTGTCATTACTTATCAAAACAGGTTGCTACGAAAAATCTTAGAACAATCTTTGTGGTAAATAATATTTCATGGTCCCCTACATTTAAAAAAATAAGTAAATAAATAAATAGATAAAAAGGTCAAAGGAGCATTAGTGGGTTGAGATATTCGGTGGCCACGAAGGAGAGGGAAAATTTTGTCTTTTTTCCTTGCTTTTAAGTTTTACCAGCTGAATCATCCTCTATTTATCAAAAAAAAGCAAAAATCATCCTCCCAACATTTTACGTGGCACCTCGTTGTTAGTGCTCCTCCTCCAGGGTTCTGTCCCACAGTCCCACATTTCAGATCTCCCCTGTTTCTTCTTTCCCTGTTCTGTCCAGATTATATTACCCTCCTGCATTAGTATTTTCTTCAGATTTTGTTCTTAGGTATCCAGACGCTAAAGAATCAAGAATGACGAGCCAAAATGTGGTGGTTTCCAATGAGAAATCGAGAATATCCACCTCTCTCTATATACCTCTGTTTCCTCTCCGTGTTTTTTTTGTTTTTTGATAGGTCTGTTCCCTTTCTGTTAATACATTAAGCTCCTGTGGACTCAATATCCGAGCTGAAATGCATGAAGAAAACCCCAACACTTACGAATATATACTCGATCTCCGTGTCCCTTCTGATACCCCAGTCACGGGCGTGAAAATTACTCCTTATGTTGTTGCGAGAGTCAGAGCCCGGAACTTCCTTCAATCCAATCCCTGGCTTAAACTCACTCCTCTTACTGTTGTGAAAATCAGAGACCAGTTCGTCTTTAATGCCAATCCTCAGCCACCCATCAGTTTCTTCTGGTTTTTGCTAAAACTTTTTCCTTTCTTTTCTTTTTTTTTTTGTTTTTCAGCTTCACTAGCTTGTTGTGCTTGATTTTAATTCCTTTCTTTTTGAAGTGATGATTAATTGTAACGTGAAAAGCTTAATTATTATTTCTCTAGGTTCCGCAAAAAGCTTATTGCTTGTTCGGTTCATCCTTCGATCCCGGCTACAGTTCAATGCATCCCTTGTGTTGAATTGAACATGAAGGAGAAGAGCTATCATTGTTCTGCAAAGTGCTTCTCAAGTGAATGGGGAAGGCATAAGATTTGTCATAGCAACGCTGCCGCTGAAAGTAAGACCACACCTGGGAATCAACAAGAATTAAGCCACCAAATAAGGAGATCTGACTCATGGCCACAATCACTTGATGAGATTCCAGAACAAGAAGGAGAAGAATGGGTTCCAGTGGCCTCTTCAGAAACATATGAGCCTTCAAATGCTGATATCAACTGCTTGCTGAAGCTGGTGTGTGTAGCTATTGATTCTGAAAACGGCAATCATCTGTCTTTGGTTCAAAGAAGAGTGATCACTAATCCTGTGATTGCTTTCCCTGCTTGTTCCACACGCAGGATGATTGATATTGGAAGTAATGATGATGGTCCAGCATTTAGTGTGTTATCCTACAATATACTGGCTGATATACATGCCAAGAACCATCTTTGCTGTCCAACATGGGCTCTTGAGTGGGAATACCGTCAGCAAAAATTGTTGAAAGAGATCAATGAATATGGTGCAGATATTATATGTTTACAGGAGGTGATGAATTTCTTCTCTGCATACTTTCATCAGTGGATATAAATAGTAAATAGTAATTGAATATAGTCAATGGGGCCTAATTTACCCTGTTTAGCTTATGCAGTTTTCTTAAATTTATGATTGGGACATGCAGGTCCAAGAGAACCATTATAAAGATTTCTTTGAACCTAAGTTGAGAAACCATGGCTATTCAGCTTTGTACAAGAGAAAAACAAATACCAATGAGGTATGTTTCATTCAAATCTCATTAGCTGTTGATTGTGATGCACACAAAAGTAATCCAGTACGTTCCTCATAAAAAATTGCTTCATTTCTTAGACTATTGGAATTTTGCTTAGAAATTTTTTGGAATTCCTACTAAGAAATTGCCTTTATCTTGTACCATTTTATTTCTTAATGTGAATGTGAATGCCAACTTGTTCTGTTACACACCAAATTCACATTGAAAAAAAAATATGATTGTGAAGAATATTTAAGTATAAAAAATTATTATTATTGAAAGTCGTCTCAAGAACAAATCTAACCCAAGTTAGATTTTTTATTTTTTTGTGTGTTTATTTTGTTATATTGCATTCCATTCATATGGTGATGTGATGAGCTTACAATCAATAAAATGCTATTCTGTAATGTGTTGCAGTTATATTCAGCTGAGGGATATATATATGAAGGATGTGCAATTTTTTACCGTGGTGATAAGTTCGAATTAACCATGAAAGAAGAGGTGAAGAATCCCTAAATTGTGTAAATAAAATATTTCTTGTTGTGTGGTTTTAAAACGACATGACAGCTCTGTTTTATAGGTTGAGTTTGACAAGAACGCACCGATTGAAGCATTGGAACGACCTGAACAAGGACAAGATGGTGGCATTCCCCTACTAAAGGTTTACATTATATCATCTTATATCTCAGTCATTGCTCAGGACCATAATCTGATTGATAGACTGTAACTTGTTGTCAGCGGTCCTCATTTATTTCCCTTGTATTTGAATTTTGGTTTTGCAGCATAATGTTGCTCTTGTTGTGGTATTACGACTGAAAAATGGCAGCACTGGTTGTAACCTTCAATCAAGGATTTGTTTGGTAAAGTACACATTCATGCTATTAGACACTCTTCCTTACTCTTTTTTATTTGTCACAAAATCTTCTTATGCAGTAATTTTAGGTGAGACAATTGTAATTTTTTTTTCTTACATAGTTGTTGTTGGGGAGTTTCATTAACAAAAAATTAATTGTTATCATATGGAAAATGTTGTTTTGTAGTCTACTCTACGTGAATTGTATTTTTTTAATCATAGATGAAAAGATAAACTCTTAATATTAACATACCTACTCTTTTATTAATAATTATAAAAAATGTAATCCATCTACATAGGATGAACTACACTTTACTTTTTTTGTTACATATATCATTATAAAAATATGTTAGCTAATATTATGTGCAAAAAAAAAAAAAAAAA